GTGCATGCGTGTAAACACACACAAACGCACATATACAAACTAACACAGACTAACTGTACGCGCGCACGCGCGCGCGCGCACACACACACACACACACACACACACACACACACACACACACACACACACACACACGCTGGCGCGCGCGAGCACAAACGCACCCACATATGCACTCAAATTCTCACTTTCCCCATCTCTTTCTCTCCTCCCCATTCTCTCTCTATTGCCTGCACCTTCTCTCATTCAATAACACCCACTCCTTCTCATTCACCGTCTCATATTACTAACCTATCTATGTTTCTCTCTGTCCAGCCTCTTCCTGTTTATCAGCTTTTTCTGCTTGTAAAATATGATATATATTTATTCGACCGCTTGTTTGACCGTCTTAATTTAATAATATTTTTTTTCTGTTTGAAAGTGCTAATTTAATCTGTTTATCGGTTTTCGGTATGCTTATCTGTTTGCCCGTCTTTCCGTCCTCAGTTTTGATGTGATAGATTAAAAGCCAACTGATTATTAAATTTCATTTTTTCCCGACCTCTATCAATGTCGAAGGGAGAGCAATCGTTGCTACCTCAGAATTTTAAAAAGTTCTATCTGCTAAGTACATAATTTTGAGAAATTTGACGTCAAAGATTTTTTTCTTGTTTAATTTCGCTACCTCAGCATTACAACGTTCTATTCGGACGTCAAAAGATTTTGAATTTAAAAATAATGTGCAGCTTTTTCGAATACTACTCTTTGAATAATATATAGTCTAGATCTATATCTTGATAAGGAATTCGAATAATCTTACTTTTTTTTTTTTTTTTTTTTTTGGTAAGTGTTTTACGGCACTCGCATGAGCTGCATAAGGTCATATGAGCGCGCGGGACACCCTGCTAAACATTTTAAATTGGTAGGAAATTTGGAATTTTGCCAGGGTGGCGGCCGAAGCCTACTCTTATCGACTTTGGACCACCAATGGGTCTTTAACGTGCGTAACATGCACATGTGGGATCTCCGTGATTGTTCGCCCTTGTCCGAGAAGGTTAGTTTTAGATATTTCCTACCATAAGATCAGGGGTGTTGCTGAAAGACAGGGAGTAAGAAGGAGCCAAGGAGTAGCAGTAGAAAGGCTGCAGAAAGAGTCAGGAGCCCAGTGGAGGAGGCAAAGGAGGTGAGGGGGTGGGGCAAGAAAGTGGAGGCGAAACAGGATGACAGAATATTGCAAGAGAGAAGGAAAGAAGGTGAAAGGAGATAATTTTAGAGAAGAATCTTTTTTCGGTCGCTCCGTGTTTGACCGGGACCTTTGAATGAGAGGCGAAAAC